GACACACCAACCTCGTCAATTTCTGGGTCACTCTGAGCGTAATTCACCTTCTTCCGAGAACGAGCTGACTGGAAGATAAAAACAGGAGAATGTCAAGAAGGTTGAACTCTACCAATTGAGTTACATTCTTCATTAATTATGGAATATAAAAGGAAAGGGAGAGGATGCAGAGCTTACCCGCTGCACTTCTTGTTGCCCCTCTAATTTATCACAATGGACTTGGAGGTCATTATCACCACTATTACCATTGCTACAACTGGTTTCAGATGGCTCAGAACCAAGACTTGCTTTCCTTTTTCTCTTTGTACCCGACGACCTCTACCCCTTTCATACCCGCATGACTGTTCTTTGGTATTCTTCCCAACATCTGCCTGCAGAGTCATTTCCAGATTCCTTATTTCAGATTGAACAGAATTTCCAGGGTCTTGCTCTTCTCCTGACAGCTTTGGCATTGATTCTTCCACAGAATTGCTCAGGTTACCAGATATACTGCCCCTAGATTTTACTGAGGATTTCCTTGATCTCTTATTTCCGCTATTATTGGAGCTGACTCTCATCTTCTTCCTACTTTTAGAAGCTTCTTGAACAGCCTCATCCATCAGCTCTGAGCTTTGTTTGCCAGTAATTCCTTTAACAGCTTTCTTAATTCTCTTACTATGAATTTTGGCAAATCTTTCATTGAAAGTGAAAGGGTAAAATGCTTCCAATCGCAGTTGAATCTTCATCAGACAACCAAATTTGCTGTCAGCATCTTCCATGGGAGCAAATAGTTATAGGAACCCATTTAATTATTTATTTACTATATCTATGAATCTTTGTCTAAATGCACCTTCATGTACATGCACATTGTGTGCGTGTTTCTCTGTGTGTGTGTGTGTGAGAGAGAGAGAGAGAGGCCTAACCTCACGCTTCTCATATTCTTTCAAAACAGGTAATAATAACCCATCAGACTTCTGATTGCCCCACCCAAACTTCTCCCAGCACAATCTGTTCCAACAAGCACAAATCAGAAAACTATAGTTACCAGTAAATTTGCAGAAAAGACCACCTTCCAGTGACACTGAAATACTTTGAAATGCTAAACAAAAGCATAACATATGAACAAGTGCATTGGGCAGTTGGATGTCCCTTTGGCAATCAAGAGTTGGGATGAAGCATTTAGAGTGGAATCA